TATTCTGTCTTTTAAAACATGTTTCTTCCTTTTCACATCCAGAGAAATATTCTGCCTTTTCAATATCTCCTAGGATATTTCATTTTTCTGGGAGAGGGCTAGGTGATAACTTCCTACATATGGATGTTGTCTATCTTGCTTTTCTTCTGGCATGGCAGCCATCCTAGGCATGGTGGAAAACCAACCAGGAAAGTTAAAAATAAAATCCCAAACCTGCCCAGAAGGCTATAGATAATCCTTGGCTTAAAACCATTCATTTACAGGTAATTCTCAATTTATCACCACAATCGAGCCCAAACGTTTCTGTTGCTAGGTGAGAAATTTGCAGAGTGAGTTTTTCCCCATTTCCTTGCCACATTTGTTAAGTGAATCACTGCAGTTGTTAAATTAATAACACAGTTGTTAAGTAAATCTGGCTTCCCCATTAGCTTTGCTTGTTAGACGGTTGCAAAAGGGACTCTGGAAAACTGCTTTTTGCTTAAATTTAGAAAAAAATAATTTGTGATTTATGGCCTTAAGGATGGGATAGATCAAGGGTCAGCAACCTTAAGCACTCAAAGAGACTTAACGGAAGCCCCCTGTTCAATTCTGGAACCAACCAGAAGTATGGTTCTCCCACCATAGAGTCTCCTCCTAGCACTGCGTCCTTTTTCCTCTACCTATCCTAACCAAAAGCCCTATCAATTGTGGAACTGACCAGAAAACCTGCCCCCTGCCATAGAGTTTCCTCCTAGCACACCCTGCTTCAACACACACACACACACCCAACCGGAAGCTCCTCTCAAAATTGTGGTGCTGACTAGCGATAGGGAGCCGCAGCAGAGAGATGAAAGGGCCACATGCAGCTCCAGAGCCACAAGCTGCTGACCCCTAGGATAGATTATAGAAAGAAGACAGTTACCATGTAACTTCGGAGAGTTAAAATATAATTGTATATTTACAAAGCCACTTTGTATTTTCTACTTTTCTTCAATGCTTTTCCTTTCTTGCAGTTTTTGCTTTCTCTTTGCCTTTAAAAAAAAAATTATGTTAGTATTAGTGTTCTTTTTTAAAAAAATATTTCAATATGAATTGTGTATATATGACAGTTTGAAGTTACAACACATCTCCCCAGAGTTACTTAACAATCTATTTTTGGAATAATTAAAGTTACACCCAATCCAAGTCACGTGGTTTCATTTTGGGCACTTGGCAAACGGCCTTTTACTTTTACAGCTGCTTGCAGCTTCCAGCAGTCACACGACTTCAATTTGAATTTCCCTTTGCCCGTTTTTGGCATTTACTTTCTGGTTCCAGCAAGAATCCGTTATTGGAGAAAATTGACTCACTCAACGATTGTGACATCCACTTAACAGCAGCAAAAAGAATATGCAATTAGATCAGCTCCTGTGATGCTTTGACTTACAACCACAATGACGATTAATTAATTACGATTAATTCTTGGTTCAATTATGGTTGTTAAGTCAAGGATCACTTGCAGTGCAATGTTTTTTTAAGCCTTTTGGAAGGAAATGTCCTCCTGCGTTCAGTTCCAAGTGAGGGTGGGAAAAGACTGGATTCATGGAAGTTGCTTGGAAAGAAGGTTAATTGACGAACAGGATCACGTTCCTTGAAGAAAAAGGGAAGAGATGATGAGAGTGCCCGGATTTTATGCCCCCTCTGGGCTTTTTAATTTGAGTTTTTATTCTGATTGGTTGTTAGACTCCCATGGGGCCATGCAGGGGTAGCCTTGTGTGTTGTGCTTTGAGTCCCAAGCTTGGTTGAGCCTTGCTGGGTGATGTAATCTTCCCAGGTGCCATGTGGTGAGTTCTGTTGCTAGATGGGTANCCACCGGGTCTCGCCCGACTCACCGATCACCTCCTCCAGCTCGTAATCATCCCTGTCGATGGACCAGGCCAGCGAGCCGGAGTCCTCCGCGGCCATGGCAGCCGAAGCTGGGGCGGCGAGGGAAAGAGCTGGGCCGGGCACAGCCGCCGCGGCGCCTCGCAGGGGCCAAACTTCGCCCGCTCTGGCTTCCCACCTGCCCTTGCCCAGGCGCGGTGACGTCACGCGCACGGCACGCCGCCCCGGGGTGGGGCGGGGGCTCCGTGGCAGCCATCTTGAGCGGGTCGCCGACTAGGCGGCTCCGCCCTCACTCCGAAGCTCAGCCCCTCCCCCCCGTCTTCTCTATGCTTTTTTTAAAAATTCCTTTCACGCCCCTCCTCCTCCTCCTCCTGAACTTTCCCTCACGCTGGAAAGACGGGGGAAGTGTGGCCCGAGCGACGCCGCTCCCAAGATGGCGCCCGCGCTGAGGTCTGCTCCCAAAGCTCCACCCCTTTAGTGTCACCGACGGTGGGCGGAGATTGGCGAAAGGAGCAGAGGCTGCCTCGGTTATTGGCTGGGGCGCTGTCAATAAGGCTCTAGCCCCGCCTTCACTGCATGGGGTGGGGTTAACGTTGAGAAATAGAAGGGCGGATAGTCCTCAATTGACAGCAGTACAGTTCATTTAGTGACCGTTCGAAAGTAGGGACATATGACCATTTTTCACACTTATCAATGCAGAATCCCAAGGGTCACGTGATTTACGTTCAGATGCTCGACAACTGACGCATTTAGGACAGTTGCAGTGTTCAGGAGTCATTTCGTAACCTTTTAACAAGCAGTTAATGGATAACCCAAATTCACTTAACAACCGTGTTACTCATTTAACAACTGCCATGATTCACTTAACAAATATGGCAAGAAAAGTCATACAATGGGACAAATCCCCTAAAAAACTTTTTCACTTAACAGCATAAATTTTGGGCTCATTTGTGGTCAGTGGTGGCTTTCCATTTTTCTTACTACCGGGCTTCCGGTAGTAAGTTGGGTGAACAAGAGGAAAAATCTGTTCGGCCCCTCTTCTCTGTTTCCTGTTCCTGTCTAAGAAATGTATTCTGATTGGTTGTCAGACTCCTATGGGGCCATGCAGGGGCAGCTCTGTAGGGTGTCCTGAGTCCATGTTTGGTTGAGCATTGCTTCTTCCCAGGTGCCCTGTGGTGAGACGGGCCTAATACTGTCATGCCCATCACCCTGGAGCTGAAGGGGGAAACTCTTTGTTATGTAGAATAGACTGGCCTGGGAAAGTGGGGGCTATTAAGAGTGAATCTTGCCTAAAAACATGTTTCTCCATTTCGGATCCAGAGAAATATAATATTCTGCCTTTTCAATATTTCTCAGGATATTTCATTTTTCTAGGAGAGGGCCTGGGTGCTAACTTCCTACACCCTGATCTGGACCGAACCGGGAGCAACCCACCTCTGGGTCGCACCTGAGGACTACCTGTAAATTATAGTATTAACTAGAAGGTCCTGGACTTACGACAACAATAGAGCCTAAAATTGCCACTGTTAAACTGTTTGTGGATTAAATTAAGTAAATTTTGCTTCATTCTTGCCACAATTCTTAACTGAATCACTGCAGTTGCTAAGTTAGTCACACAGGTGAACCTGATTTCCCTATTGCTTTTGCTTATAGTATAGCCTTTATTGCCCTTGTATATCATATCAATTGGTTTTATCAGAAGGTCGCAAAAAAAAAGGATCACATAACCTTGAGACAATGCAACCGTCATAAATATTTACCAATTGCCATGCATCTCAAATTTGATCCCATGACCATGGGGAAGCTGCACTCATCATAAGTGTGGGGGAAAAAACGGTCATGTCACTTTTTTTTTTTAGTAACTTCCATCATTAAGTGAATAATTTTATGTCTATCTTGTGTGATTCGGCTTCTTTTAAGCTGCTCCTTTCCTTGCTCAGAGTGGGAGTCTGGGGGGGGGGGGGAATTCCAAGTATGCCTGCATGTCCTAATTGATCCCTGGAATTTACATTCTTCACTTCTTCATCATTTTTGAGCCAAGCCATGCACAAAGTATCTTTCTCCTACATGGGATAGTTGTTCAAAAGAAACAGTTGAAAGGATAGATGCCGCCTTCTAAGTGGAAATAGGCCACTGCCCTCCCCTCTCCTCTCGTGGAGCTGTCTCTGAGCAATTGAAAAATACCCTTTCTCTCCTGCAGAATTTGGGTTTTTTGTTTTTTTTAAATGATAAGGGCTGAAAATCTTTCTGGATGTGAGGAACAATCCATCAGGAAGAAGAGTAAAGTAGTGATTAGGGGAGATCAATCAAGGCAAAAGTTGCATAGAAGAAAAAGCCAACACTATGTGATAAATTGCTGAAAAGAAATCGGCACAGCAATCCAGGGCTGGAAGGAATCTTAGAGGTCATCTAGTCCAACCCTTTGCTCCAGCAGGAAACCTTATGTTGTCTGGATTATTTTAGTGCCTCTAACAGAAAGGAAAATTGCCCAAAAGAAGGAAGAGTTTACTAGGACAAGACTGCCATGCAGAGGAAGGCAAAGATAGCCCTTGATTTTTGACCACAGTTGAGCCCCAAATTTTGGTTGCTACGGGTTTGTTATAAACAGGTCGTGCCAAACCAATCTTACTTCATTCTTCAAAATAGTGACTACATTAGCAGACCAGCGAAATACTGTGGACATAATATACTTCGACTTCAGCAAGGCATTCGACAAAGTAGACCACAACCTACTTCTTCATAGGCTAGAAAAAAGTGTGATAGATAGCTTTACCACCAGATGGGAGAGAAGTAATCAATGGGGTACTACAAGATTCCGTCTGATTTATTCCAAGTTGACAAGACAAGACAGGGTGCATTTAAACAAGAGTTTGGAAATGATGGCCCCTTTGTGACTTGTGGGACTTCAACTCCCAGAGTTCCCGAGCCAGCCATGCTAGCTCGGGAATTCTGGGAGTTGGAAGTCTACACAAGGGACCATTGTTCCCCAGCCCTGTATTAAAATGACATGGAAGCAGATCTGGGACATCAGCAAATTGAATGGCAATTCCTCCCATAGAGCCGTATCTCAGGGACACCACTACAGTAATAGATTCTTTTACAGGGCAGGCAGTTGGGCTAGATCAGTGTTTTTCAACCTTGGCCACATGAAGATGTCTGGACTTCAATTCCCAGAATTCCCCAGCCAGCATTCGCTGGCTGGGGAATTCTGGGAGTTGAAGTCCAGACATCTTCAAGTGGCC